TCTATCTATCTATCTATCTATCTATCTATCTATCTATCTATCTATCTTACAGGATTTGCAAGATGATCAAAAAGCTAATTTGCTTCAAAAATCTAATTAATAAGAATACTTTTTTCTTCTGCAGGTTCCTTTACTTAATATTTTTGAAGAGTTTGTTTTAATTAGAAATAAAATAATAGACATTTAGTTCATAAAGACTTAGCAACCTTGGCTGATCTCTTAGGAAAGTTTGGATTTTATTAATATTTGAATTAATAAATTGGTATTTGAAGTCTATAATGCCTAGGAAAAAAGTAACATACAGTAAAGAAGAAGTAGCAAGATGGATGGAGTAAATTAAGTGGTAAGGACCTGAAGGACCTGGTTGGAGAAAGCTTATTATGGACAAAAATCTATGTATTTGGTTTCTAAGACTAGACGCCAACCTCATGGCACATAATCAATTAATCAGTTTATATTTGGACCAGGGGCCATCAAAAAATCCCAAAGCTCCAAACTATACTGATAAGATTAAAAAAAAAATAACTCTAGAAGGAAGCAGTGACAAATTATTTTTATTTTATCAAAATAAATTATGTCCACATAATTAACAGGGATTGAGCTCAACTCATTGGAGGTTTTGTCTTAGTTCATTTTTGCAGTTTATATCTTCTCTAATGTAGAGATGAAAAGTTGACATGTCTTGGTTCTAGATCATGTAACATTACATTAATGCTCTTTTAAGATTACTGTCATTTTGCCACGCTTGGATATTTTTCTTGAAAAGGGATTTGTATTATAAATGATATGGAGATACAATTTTCTGAGTAATCATTATATAAAAACAAGGTAAGAGTCTTTCTGGGCATGCTCATAAGTATCAATAAATCTGTCAAAGCTTGGATCAACACCTAGTGAGAAAAGTGCTCACTAAAGGGTCTTAAAATATTCAAGACAGTAGCTGGGATAAAGTAAGGTGATGGTGCGCTAGCAGTATCCTGAACAACTTTGTATAGTTTATTTCCGATATTCTACTAGGTTGCAATAAAAATAGGAGACAAAGTATTTCAGAAATATGAATCTGACTCCAGTGCTTTTTCTCATTTTCACTGCAATCCTATAAAAATATCTTCAAATATAAACCCCTCTGATTTTACTTCCAAGCAATATAGATTTGTACCTTCAGGCCTCTTCAAACTCCAGCCAGAATTCCCTTTTTACATCAGATATGAGTAATTTATGTATTTTCTTCGTGATCTTCATCTAATGAGAGTGCTTTTCTCCAACAAACATATTACTAGCCAATTCAAAGAAGGTCAGCAGCATGCACTATTTTTCAAGCTATCCTGCACTTCAAGAGCCGACATGAGTTGCAGTTCAGCAAACTCCTGGAGACCACAGGTTATTAATGTAATTAATAAAAGAGATATCATAGTTATTTTTAATCACCCCCTAATGAAATCATTAGTTTATTCATAGATAATGTCAATAAGTCACCAGCCTTGATGTTTTTTTTAATTTCCAAGCATTTTTGTTTTTACATTATAGTGACCACATAGTTACAAGAGGGCAAAAATTGGGCCTCAATCATTTATCCAAGATAAAAAAAAAAAAGATGTGAACCTACCTATGGATGTTGCCTTCAAGCTTTTTCACTTTCAGCTCATCTTCTTCTGACTGTCTCTTCCTGGCTTCTTCCTCGGCCGGAGAACTTGCAGGAATTCCCTGCATCAGCCATTTTTCCCGAAGAGCTTTTGACTAGGTGAGAGATAACAGAGGAAAGAAAGAAGAAGAAGAAGAAGAAAAAAGCACACAAGATATTAGAAGTGACATTAGAAGAATTCAGCTCCTAAATATTTGATAACCCTTCTTAAAGCTACCGGTTAGTGCTTCCAGCATTAGACCAATTCATGACTCCCTTAAGGGACTAATCTAGATCCCTGCTCAGCCAAGGTGTCACATCTAATTTATAAACAAAAGGGCTGTTGATTTTATATCTGGAAATAAGTGAACAACTAGTACATCCAGCTATGAAGTAATTTTTAAACAAGCAAACTAGCATGATTAGATATGATTAGAATGAAAAGAAACTTATGCATGAAATTGTGTAAAAACAACTATGCCTGAAAATGATGCAATTAATGGAAAGCACTCCAAAGAAGAACAATTACTGACAAATGGTACTTACTGGCAATCCACTGGCATCAATTCGTTGTAAATGTTTCTTTATAAAACTTATGCCATTCATTCCAATGGCTCTGACTAGCTTACAAAAATATATATACTGTACATAGCCAAATTTCTAAAATAATGTAAAAAATGTAAACCTAAATGGATTTAGAACTATGGATTTAAAACTAAATGGATTTATCTACCCAATGTTTTATGAAATTCTTTCTGGTTACTCTCCATACATGAAAGATTCATGCTTGGTTAGATTCCAACTACTGGAGGAGTAATAGAAAGAATGCAGGTGACCTTAATCTGCAGCCTTGTTAGCATATCTATGGATTTTGATCCAAGCAACAATGTTATGAGACAAGTCCTAATTGTGTAAGATAATAGTTTACATTTCCAGCAACAAAGCAATCATAACTGATTCCTCTTTGATATTGTGAGGTATCCAACACACAAGAAATAATCTATTCTGTTGCACTAGCTACTTATTAGAGAGCCAGTTTAACGTAGTTGTTAAGCCACCATCTGGGGAACTATCTGGGGAAACATGAGTTCTAGTTGCATTTTAGGCATACAGCCAGTGGCGTGACTTTGAGCCATACAGTTTCTATCAGCCCTAGGAAAGAGGCTATTGTTCTGAAATCACACCAAGAAAACTGCAGGAATCAGTCCAGGCTATCATCAGGAGTCAATACTGACTCAAAGGAGCCCAACAAACAAAAAACCTCCTACATATTAAGTTTTAATGAACAAACCTAAATTCAGAGTTTTTGAAACAACCTGTCACTGATTTGCAGGAACAGCATAATCAAACTCATTATTCATTTGCAACTTTTCTATTTAGTTATTCTATTTGCATTCCTTATCTAACTTTGCTTTTTTCTCTTCAAGAAATATATATTTCTCTTATACAGATATTTCTCATAAAATCTTACAGGTAATCTTCAAGCAAATGCATTTATTATATTTTCCACATGAAATCACAAGACAAATACTTAGTGGGTGCTATGTCATTAAATATCTAGCAACACAATACACCCAAGTAGGCCAATGAAAATTATCATAACTTTCTTGGAGGTTGGAGATGTGTTAGGATTGATCATGGCTGATTAACAATGCACATTAATTTTGAGGAAAAACCAGTTGTTTCTTTAGAATAAGGTGAGGAAGCCTTCCTGTGGAATGGCAGGAACTTTCACCTCCCTTAAGCTGAGCCAGCTTTGGAAACGAGAGCAGAAGGCTCAGGCATGGTTTAGTTAAACAGACGCTGGCACAAACATGGCCCATAACTTCAGCAGAGTCCACTTGGTTCTTCGGCCTCTGCCTAGGCAGTTTTCCCAAGTGGTGCAGGTTCTCCTAGGGAATCAGAGTCATGTGCTAATGAAGAAAGGAAGAAGAGTCAGACAATCGCCTTAATAGAATTAAGAATGGGTCTACAGTACAGGTTTTTTGCATTGAGTTATCCCACATTGAATTGTCCTGTGGTGAGTTGTCCCTTGGCTAGTTTTATTGTTAAGAGTATTGAAAACAAAGATATCAAAATATATATACAATATTTGTTGCATTTATAACCAGGTTTTCTGAATGCCACGTACTTTCTACCTCTCTCCTATTTTATTCTTATAAGGACTCCATGAATAACTGTCAATCATGAGGTTCAGCGCAGGCAGGAATCTGAACATGGATTTCTCAGGCCTAGCTTAATACTCACAACACTGTATTATCTAGCATGACAAAGTCAATTAGGAAGTGGAATCCCACAAAGAAACAAACCGTTCTATGCAGGCAAGTATGCAAGACCTCAAATATGGAAAAAACAGTTTCAGAATTTCACGTTAGTTGAACAATTCTGGCATTTTCCACTATAGGAAGAGGATTTTTGGATTCATGGTTCTATTATCTAAAGAAGTGTTAACAAACTGTATCAGCCAATAGCATAGACAAAAAGGTAGCTGCTTAAGGATTCCTATAATGAAACAAAATCTAATCCGTCAAGGAATTAATGAGTATACCCTCTCAATAAACAGAGTTTACATTTTGGGGACCATATTGGGTATTGGTTTCCATCCAGATCTACCCACCAGCTGCTGTTGTTTACAAAACATCTAACAGAAGCAGTGCTAGAAAGCTAATTGGCCATGGCTTCTCCTGGCAAAAACAAGGCCACATGGAGCAGGCCTAGCTATTATAATCTCCCTGGTACCAGAAAATGACTGCATGGCCTAACTCCCAGGAGGAAGCAGCAACAGATAATTTATCTGGAGGTAGAACTGGCATAGGCAGATACTAGGATTTGGATACTAAGCTCTCCACCTCTTCAGGTTTTGTTAACCAGAGGCAAATTAAGTTGCAATGCAACCTTTTAAAAGGATTTTTCAACAGGAGATTTAATGACAAAAAGCAGGAAGGGAAACCACACAAACTTTCCTCTTTTCATCTGCCAGACTGCTTGTTGTTCCCTGTAGATAACATTTACTGGGAGAAAAAAATGCTCTTTTAAATGTGGGCTCAGAAACTTTTCTATTTTCTCTGCAAAGTTGAGCCAGTCAAGGGTGAAGGAAGGACAAAAGGAAGAGGGTAAGACAGAAGGAATGGTTAAGTTGAGCCTTGAAAAAAGATGAGAAAGGGGACAATGACAGTACTTGTGTAGTATTTGAAGGACTGCTCCATGTGTGATGGTTCAGACAGTCCATTCTGAAATACAGGATATAAGTGAACTGTTTACAGGTAATCCTCGACTTACCTATTTAGCAACTGTTCAGTGGCACTGAAGCTTCAGTGGCACTGAAAAAAGTGATGTATAATGGGTCCTCACACTTATGACCATTGCAGCATCCCCAGTCACGTGATCAAAATTCGGGAAGTTAGCAATCAGCATGTATTTACAATGGTTGCAATGCGACCGCCATTTGTGACATTCCCAACTTGCTTCCAACAAGCAAAGTCACCGAGGAAACTGGATTTGCTTAATGACTGCTTGATTCATTTAACAACTGCAGTGATCTGCCTAACGACTGTGGCAAAAAATTGGTTGTAAAATTGGTTGTGACTCATTGAGCAATCACCTTGCTCAGCAACAGAAATTTTGGACTCAGCTGTGTTCATAAGTTGAGGATTATCTTAAATCCTGCCTGAATGTTTGAAAACAAAACAAGCTATCTTATAGACAGAAATCTGACAGAGCAATCAGTTTCTGAGGGTTAAGTTGCTTTACTTTGTGATGCTTTCTACACTGAGGAGATTAGACTGGCTTCTTTTAAATTTATTATGGTACAAACTTGTCTGAGGCTAAATTCCTAGGTAGCCTAGCTTTCCCTACCTGGCGACAGCCAAGCTGTGTAAGACATACAGGAAGATCCATACAGGAGAAGCATCAAATAGTCCTCAAACAGAATTTCTAGCTGGGAAATTTAGAGTTTTTGAGAAAATGAGTTTATCTCACTAATAATTTCTAAAAATATTCAAAACCAACTCTCACAAACCCATTGAAAAACAAACTTCTCCCTCTACATTTTGAGATAAGGAGTGTCAATATTCCAAATTGCCTTTTTTCAATTCTTCCCATCGATCCAGCACTTATCCATTCATAGCAGTCCCTCAAAATTTCATTAAACTAATATTGTTAGACAAGACAGGAAACTGCAGAATGAAACGAAACAACAACCATTAATGAAGTGGTGACAAATGTGTGTGTGTAAGACCCGACCGTCAAGAGATGGAGATGCAAAAGGAAGCCTTTTGACCTCTTCTGCTTGCTTTTTTTTTTATAATTAAAAGCTTGCTGAGCCATTTTTATAGCATAGGAAAGCCACTATAATTCATATCTCCTGTCCCTCATTACCACTACATGGGCTCTCACAATAAATTGAGAATTGGGCCAGCAAGAACATATCTTTCTGTAATCTGCAACATGTACAATTCTAGTATATACTCAAGATACCAGGTTCATCTTCTGTTTATTATTCTGTGAATAAGCAGTTTTGGACCATTTTTCCTCTTAAAAAAAAAAAAACTCTACTAGGTCAGGAGTAGGAGGATGAAGATCTCCTTCAGCTATTTTGGGAATGTACATGTCTGTTCCCACTGGGTTAGTGCAAGTTCTTTCCCAGAGCCTGGAAAAGTACAGGAAACGATGGAGATGAATCACCAAGAGAAATGGGAGTACTCTGATGATGCTATTGTGAAATCAAAAGGCGCAGATCAGAAGCAGTTTAGCTCCTTGGAAGGAGGCATTTTGCTCATCCCCAACCAATTTTTGCTGTAACACGGACAAACATATATGGAAAGATATTCACTTGGAGCACACCATACAGCTCACTGTTCTTAATTAAGCTGAACGAATGAAAAATAAAACCCGCTTTGAAATATATTGCCCTCACCAAACATATTAAAGAAATAAGAGCCACTTCTAGATTCAACAGTACAGCAAAAGATTTTTTTTTTTTTACCTCAAAAAGATGAAAAATAAATCTGTGAAGCTATTTGGGATCCTTTCGTTTTAGTCTATCCCCCCAATCTGCACGAAAACACTGCATAGGGAAAAATATTATGACCCTATTGCTAATATCTGTGACCTATTG